GTTTCTTTTAACCAACAACATAGAGTAAAAGCAGAACTGCTACACACTAGGGGCTTTATCTCATGATACTATGTAGATAATGTGATTAAGACACTTGTCTTGGTCTAGAAAATAAAAGAGACTATGATAATGTAAACGTGAACTCACTCTTCATCATTATTCTCCAAAATGTGTATTATTTTAGTTCATGTCATCACAAAGCAAACAACTCAGAAATATCTGACAAGTATGTAGTGTGTAGAGTGTAGTAACACTGGCTCTAAAGACAGAATGTCACCTGCTAACCTGAGGAACTTACAAATTATTTAGCTTGCCTATACACATCTCAGGTTTCCAATTATAAAACAAGGAGAACAATGTTGCCTACATTTCTTGGGTTGTGAAGATAATAAAATAACATACACAGAGACAGGATAAATATTTGCCATTATTATAAGGTATCAGCCCAAACAGAACGGTCTTTCATGGCTATGTTTAATAAAATGCCCTCAGAGTCTACCAGAATGGTCCATTTTATAATTATTTTTCTATATCCTTTGAAAAACAGTTTTTATTTTCTCTGTTATACAAGATCTATCACTATATACCACACATTCATCCTTTACTTAGTTCTAAGAAAAAGTTTGCCTCTTCTGATAATTGTATATGCTTTCTATATCCAAGATGAAAAATTTATAAACCAACATGTTTCCATTTTGGTTTCAGCGATCAGGACACTTCCCAGCTGTTATAATTAATGTCTCCCAGGTGCCTCAAATCTTTTTAAATGGTCTCCTTCTATTTTTATCTGTGCTTGTCCTATTTTATATTAATTTCCTTCTGTAAGCCAACTCAGGTCTTTACAGAAGCCCTTGAGTATAAATCATAAAGAAATATCTATGTATTATATAATAAAAATTAATGTAATTTTTTGTGGCTTCTTATTGTGCCTGCTCTGGGGCCATTTCATTGCCAACTGACATCCTGCCACAAGGAAGACAGAGTAAGAGAAAAGAAATGAAAATTAAATTAATCATTTTTAGAGGAGGTTCTGAGTCTTAAGTAAATCATAACACTGTAGTACAGAGTTTAAATCTGAATTATTTATGTACTCTTTTAGAACACTAATCTCTGTAGTCATCTCTGCTGAATAAAAAAAAAAAGACAGTTGTTTTGATAAACAGAAGAATGAAATCCACTTTTATTTATAATAATCAGCTGGGAAACATGTGCAAATTCCCAGGCCCCACCCCTAAACATTCTGATTCTGTAATTAGGGAAGGGGCTTGGATCTATTAAATATAAAGCGCATATATAAATAAGAAACAGATAAGTAAGGCCTGTGATCTGAAGACCACACCTTTTGAAACTTTGCAGAAAGCAGTAATTTATACGTTATGCAGATAAACCTTCTGATACACCTTAGCCTTCATTACAATGCAAGCCTGGGTTGGCTGAAGTCATTTCAATTCAGACATTTACCTAAAGCCACTTGGCATTAATTGGTTTTTCTATCAAGTACTCAGAATGAATAGCTGAATACTTTGTTATACAGTAAGTCAAAAATATCCACACAGAACTTTTGCATTCACAGGAATATACTTGGAACATTATCATGAAGCAAAAGAAGTATTTTAATGTTCTGGACCATAGGCAATTTAATGATATATTTCTCAAAAAGCATGTTGAAATACATTCCTTATTTTTATAACAATTTGTTATGATCATATGTAGTTACATAATCATTTAATAGCAAGATAATGAATCAAACTGGGCCTATCCTCCCAATAGCCCTTACCTAAGAAACGAGAATTGTCCTTTGCTTGGAGGCTCGTGAAAATGAAATGAATTAAGTTTATAAAACACAGTAGGCTTTCAATAAATGGTAGCTGTATTTCTTTGGTAGGAAAGACTTTATATTCTGCTTTGTAAATATTTGACACATTTTAAAAATACATGTGTTTTTTATATACAGTCGAAACAAAATGAATATTTTGAATCTTGCAGTTACAAAAACATAGAAGGAAATCTCAAGAAAAATGGTCTCAGAAAGACTAAGAAAAATCTCATACATTATTGTTGGTGAAAATGTAAATTGGTGTAACTTTGCAAAGTTTGATAAATTTCTATGACTCTCCCTAGAAAAGTCTATGTACAAAGATCTTCTCTGCAGTGCTATTTACAAAAGAAAAAGGCTGCAAACAACTTAAATGATTCTTGAAAGAATATGGTTTATATGAAGCCCTGGTTTTCAAGCTTCGCCATGCATCAAAATCACCTGGAGGTCTTGTGAAAAACCTGTGGCCCTCCCCAACCCAGGAGGGTCTGAAGCAGCAAGTCTGAGATGGGGCCTGAAAATCTGCATTTATAATAAATTCCCCAGTGCAGCTGAGGCTGCTGGTCTAGAGAACCACATTAAAATCTAACTGCTTTATGCCACAGATTATTACACCTATGTGTAAAAAATCAGAGCCATATGCTCTAAAACAGAATAATCTCCAAAATCTGTTGCACATGAATTGTAAAGCGCTGAACGCTCTTCTTTGTATTACTACTTTAAAAGGTCTATACTTACATAGGCTTGAACAGGCATATAGGAGTTGCTGCTTGGAGACTCAGGAGATGGGGTAGGAAGACATCCTCTTTATTGTATAACTTTACTGTTTTACATGGGTATATATTATTTTTAAATGAAGAGCTATCTACTGAAAAAAAAAAAAGCAATTGAAGAATATTCATGTTTAGTCAGTTACTTTTAAACTGATTTACAAAACGCCTATCATCTTCCTAGGCCAGGAGCATCCGACTCCAAAGTTATTGCAGTAGCATGAAATTTGAAATCTAGAGAAAGAATCCTAAAGACAGCTCTCTGTATATATTTTTTGGCAACACATTAGGATTATGTTGCATTAATGATCTCAACATGAGGGAAATAGATATGAAAAATGATGTGTTTCTTTTAGAGCAGCCAAGTATAATGTTAAAATACTAACAATGTCAGTATGGAGGAATGGATGAAAACACAAAAAGATAATCTGTTCATTTACCATTAGGAGGTATGCGCTGGTGAAAGTACCTGACATTCACACAGGTTGCAGGTGTGGAAAGCAAACTGCCTAAAACAGTTGGATTGTTGAGCATTTCTTTAAATAGGAAGCCAGTGACTGGTATGAAACTTCATTGTAGCTGATGCACATTTTCAATAAAAAATTGCTAGGATTTTTCCTTGTTATGACTTAGCTCAAAACTTTTTTTGGCACATGAAAATGTGCTGCTCATTTCATCTAGCGGAGAGTTTGAAATGTTCTTTTTATGTTGAAAGATCAAATTACTGAGATTACACTCAAAGGAAAAATAAAATCTATTTACCAGTAAGTTTTTTTTATGTACACTCCACATACTATAAAAACAAAGCAAATGAAATAATTCAAATGGCCAATAAACACAAAATTCTAAAACTTCTTTCAAAAATATGCAACAGCCTGTTAATGGTCAAATTTATGTTAATATTATTAAAATGTCATATTTTATAAAGTTCTACGAAAAAACAAAATTCAGATTCCCATTAATGGTCTATTTTGTTTTATTTTATTAACACCTAATATTTTGTAGAATCCTTTGATAAACAAGATTATAAAATTGTCTTAGTTGGAAAAAATAAATCACCATTTAGTGTAAAAGAGCAATGAAAAAGTGTTTTGATTGTTTGCAAAAGTCTAATATACTCCTAATGGGAAACAGTTTTCAGCAAGTAACTTTCCGTTAAAAATGATAAAATTTTAGAGGTCATGTATGCATAGGGGTTAACAGACATCGATTTATAAGTAACTGGTCAAAACTTTTTATACTTTATCATCAACTATGCGCCTAAGGAAAATTACCTCAACTCTTTGAGACTTAATCATCTCATCTGTAGAATAGATATTATATAATAATATCATTACCTCAGCCAGGCTGGACAAGAACCACCCCCCACAAAAAATAAACCCAGTATTCAAATATAAAATGTTATTTGTAGTACAGCAGGGAGGTGATGCTATGGAGTCATTTCTACTACCCTTTTAAAATAAACTGATGAAAAAGGGTTTACTGTGATTTATCACGTGTGCCACATGCATACTCACTATTAAAAATATTTTAAATTCAGCATTTATAAATGAAGTCAGATAGAATATAAAATCCATTACATTTTTAACACCTTTCCTTAAGAAAAAAAATGTTGCATGGCTCAGAGGAGAGATAATTTAATACAGGACAACAAACAAATTCAAAGGATCTAAGAAATTTTAAATGAAACACAACCACTCCTGACATCGAGATCAGAACAAAAGAGTTCTACATGGTCCCATGAAGATAATTCTGTTATAAAGAGCACCACCCACACCCACATTCACCAAGGCATCTTCTATCATGTCTGATGAGCTTACCCTGGCTTGACCATATAATTTATCATCTATACCAAGGCACCTTTGAAAATAAAAGTAAGACTAGGCATGAAGCAGGATAAATAGGTGAAAACTAAGAATGTTCCACACAAATGGAGATGAACTGTCACCCTCAGTCAATCTATCAGTAAGAGTAATTCTATAGAGACTGAAGATAGCTGGCAATTTGATGAGGTCTAGGAACACAGCTCTCTGCTTAAGAAATATCTGGAATTACCAATTGAAAATAAAAAACTTATAAAGTCATTAATAATAAAAGTAGTTTATCTTTTTCAGGACTTACAGTATACCTGGGGCTAATGGTTTCAGGAGTTGGCAAACTACAGCTGGAGGGCCAAATCCAGCCTGCCACATGTTTTTGTCTGGTCTGGGAGCTAAAAATGGCTTGTATATTTTAAGTAGCTAGAAAAAAAATCAAAGGAATAACTTTTCGTGACATGTGAAAATTACATGAAACAAAAATTTCAGTGCCCATAAGTATACTTTTATTGGAACACAAGCCACACCCACTTGTCTACATATTGTGGCTTCCATACTACGAAGGCAGAATTCGGTTGCTATGAGACCATATGCCCCACAAAGGAGTCAGACTCCAAAAGCTATGTACTGTATGATTCTATTTATATGACCTTCTGGAAATATCGGAACTACCAAGATGGAGAAGAGATCAGAGGTTATTAAAGGTAAGGGATAGGAGAGGTTTCACTGCAAAGGAGCAGCAGGAGAAAACGTTATGGGATGATGGAACTATTCTGTAGCTTGACTGTGTCACTGGTATATTTGTCAACACTCATAGATGTATACATTAAATGGTGTGAATTTTTACATATATAATTATGAAAACAAAAACAAAAACTGGTCTGTTTGGTTCCAAAGCCCATAGCCCTAGAGACTCAACAGAAATATAGTTTTCTTTCCACATATGTTCTCTTCCAGCTGGAAGTTGCAGACCAACCGTAGATTCTTAGTCTTAATTTAGGTGTCCCTAAATACTAGAGCTGTATTTTTGTTCAATGAAAGACTGCTAGAATTACCTGCTTCATGTGAAGTTTGGCTGTCTTGACATTACTGACTGAGTGTTCCACATACATTCCAGACCGACTGGACTCCTCAGGGGTCGGTTCCTGAATCCTCTTATCTCTGCCTTGTATCAGGGTGTTTGTGATAATTTTCCTCCATGGAGCGCTCTCTATTTTCCCCATGTTGCCTCTTCCTACATGTTTTTCAAGACCCAGAGCGACCTCACTGTCATCCTTCACTCACCCTTCACTCACGCCGAATCAATCATCAACCTCTGTACTTCTTCCTCTGTGTATTTCCTGATCCTTTCCTCTTCATCTCCAAGCTAAGATCCTTATCAAGGCCACCATCATGAATTCACTCTATTAATAGCAAAGAGCCCAGACAATCTTCCAAGTGCAAATGTCTCTCCTACTGACCTGCTTAATTTATGCCCAATGGCTTTCTATTGACTTCTGAAGGGGTGCAAGATCTCTGTCCTACCTATCTCCTAAGTCTCATGTCTCTCCACTAATCTCTGTAAATTCTAGGGTTCAAACATTAAACTTCTTTCAGAACTCTGCATGTCCTATGATTGCTGAGGTTCCTATCACTAAGGCTTTGCACATGCTGTGCGCTCTGCTGAAACTCTTTTCTTACACCTTTTTATTTTCCTCCTCACCTCCTACTCACCCAGTAGTTCTCAGTTAAAATCTGTCTTTAACCCTTAAGGTAGTGTGCCCAAATACCCACAAACAAGGTTATGCCTTTTATTATTCTCCCATAACACCTTTAATTCACTTTCATAAACTTGGGCTATTATACTTTTCCTGGAGCACTTCAAAACATTCTAACAACGGCTTGTTACTTTATTGTAAATACTTCAGAATTATTTATAACATCTGTAACTTTTTTCAGTTAACAGAATAGTTTAACTTTATTGCACACAGTGGTTTGAAATGTTTTCTCCAAGTCTTACTGTACAATTGCTCCAGAACCATTTGTTGAAAAGGGTACCCTTCCTCCAATGAATTGTCTCTGTATCTTTGTCAAAAAATTAGTTGAGAATATATGTGTGGGTCGACTTTCAGATTCTCTGTTTTGTTCCTTGATCCATGTGTCTTCTCTACCAACACAATACAGTCTTGATAACTGTAGTTATATAGTAATCCTTAATATCTGGTCAAGTGATTCTTCACATTTCAATCTTCTTTGTTGAGACTGCTTTACCTTACAGTCTGAGCCTTTCTATATAAATTTTAGAATAAGTTTTTTTTTTATATCCAATAACAAATCAAAACTAGCAAACAAAAAGACCTCACTGGGATTTTGATAGGAACTGTATTAAAACTACATATCAATTTTAGGAGAATTAACATCCTTACTGTATTGAATATTTCAATCTATGAACATGGTATGTTTCTCCATTTATTGTATTTAGGTCTTCTTTGATTTCTTTTGTCAGCTTTATACAATGTTCAGCATAAAGATCCTGTACATGTTTGGTTAAGTGTATACCTACGTATTTCATTTCCTTAAAGCAATTTGTAATTGATATTGTGTTGGTAATTTTGGTTTCCATCAGATTATTATCATATTAAAATATCACTGGTTTTTGTGTGCTGATCTTGTATCCTGTGACCTTGCTAAATTCACTTAGGTTTAGGATATTTTTGTAGATTCCTTGGGATTTTACAGTTATCATCTAAGAGTAGAGATAGTTTTCACAGTTATCATCTAAAAATAGAGATAATTTTATTTCTTTTTTTAATATATGCCTTTCATATCTTTTTTTTTTTTTTTTTTTTTTTTTTTTTTTTTTTTGCCTTATTGCGGTGCCTATAATTTCCAGTACTATCTTGAAGAAGAGAAGTGAGTATGGATATCTCTGCCTTATTTCCAGTCTTAATAGGTAACCCTTCGGTTTCCTACCATTACATATTACGTTAACTGCAGGATTTTTGAAGGTGCTTTTTATGAAGTTAAAATAATTACCTTGAATTTCTCTAATTTCATGAGAAATGTTATCATGTATAGGTACTGAATTTCATCAAAGGCTTTTTTCTGTGCCAGTAGACATGATGATATAATTATTTTCTTTACCTGACTGATATAATATGTTACACTGATTGAATTTCAAAAGTAAGACCAAACTTGCATTCCTGGGATAAACCCTATTTGAACAATTTGGTCATGATGTATAAATCTTTTAATATTTTGTATAATTTAAGCTGCTAATATTTTAAAAACCTGTAGCAGTTTTGCACTCCTCCTCCTCTTCCTTTGTTCATGCCATTTATCTATTGCAGAAAATCAGTCATTTGTGCTGTTAAATTAATATATATTACAAATTATATTATATAATATATATTATAAATTACAATATAAAATAGGTTAATTGCATCTCTTTAATGTCTTTTAACTTGTACTTCTATCCCCTAAATTGGTAGTTAGACTTAGAAGCTTGATTAGAGTCAAGTTATTATTTACTGATTGATTTATATTAATGATCATTCAAAGTTGGTGCTACATACTTTCCAGCGCATCAAATGAAGAGGCACCTAAATTTGGATGTCCTTCTTTTAGCAATGTTAAAATTGATAAGTAGTAGGTTCATGCATTTCTTTCCCAAGCTAGATTCATTAATTTGAGATCATTACTAAAATATGCAATTTTATTTCAATCTATTTTTATCTACTTTGAATCACATTGTTAGATAGTTACAGTATCAGACAATAACTAAGATGGCTTGACAAAAAAATTGAGGAATTGGAATGATAGACACTAGTGTTAAATAAGGAGGATATTTCAATGGGATGATTTTATAAGTGGTCAGTTTATTAATGAATATTTTCTTGTCAAGACCACTTATGTTTCTCAATTCTGCATCATAACTACAAGCAGTACTGACCACATGGATATCAAGGAAACTGTGCCTCCTGATATGGTTTGGATCTGTGTCCCCACCCAAATCTCATGTTGACTTGTAATTCCACTGGGGATTGGAGGTGGGTCCTGGTGGGAGTTGGCTACGTCATGAGGATGGATCCTTCATGAATGGTTTAGCACCATCCCTTTGGTGCTGTTCTCATGACAAAGTTCTTAGATCTGGTTCTTTAAATATGTGTGGAACATCCTCTGTCACTCTCTCTTCTTCCTGCTCCAGCCACTTAAGATATGCCTGTTTCCCCTTCACTTTCCACCATGATCGTAAGTTTCCTGAGGCCTACCCAGAAGCTGCTATGCTTCCTGTACAGCCTACAGAACCATGAGCCAATTAAACACCTTTTCTCTATAAATTACAGTCTCAGGTATTTATTTAAAGCAATGTGAAATAAGGCTCAAATTCCATACAAAGACATAGAAGACCTAATAGTGCTTAATCTTAATCCACTCTCCTTCGTGCAAAATTTACTCAAATAAAACTATTCCTTAATATCCATAGGAATTTTCATGTCTATGCCTTTGTTTTAAAATGGACTATTGTCTAGAATACCACTCAAAAAATCTAAAGCAGCGTCAATATTCAAAGTTTTTAATGGCCTGTGTAACATGGGCACCAACAAATTAGACTGAATATTAGCCAGTAAATCCCACTGATGGGTGCCAACCAGTCCTGCTCTGTAGCCCCAGTGTTCTTTAGGAAGCTACTTACTAGGCCACTTCCTCCACAATATATTTATTGATTCCCCCAGACTCCTGTTGTCCTCTATTGATATTAAAGTCAGGATCACATCATTTCCTTTTCAGTGGTTATAGCCTATGTTATTTCCCCTTCTAGTTTGTAAACTTCCTGAAGTTATAAGCTCTCTGATTCACCTTTGATGCCCTTATTCTCCTTAGGATAAAGCCTGTCCTCACATTCTTTAAAGACCTACATGTTTTTGAAATGCAGAAACAATCAGCATCTTTAATCTGAAACCTTTCATATCCTTCCATGTCCTGTTAATGTCTCCCTACTCTCTGCTTCCATAATTTCTTCAAATTCTTCCTTGTAGATCCATCTATCATTCCTGATAAACTATGGATCGATTAAGGGCAATAAGCATGTCTTTATGTCCCTCACATTTAGCATAGTTACTGGTACTTAGAACTTGCTCTTTAAAGGATTATTAATTTAAATAACACAACATCAAACTGAGCTCAGTAATTGTTGGTTCAATGAAGATCTGTAACAACCCTGAGCCATTAAGCATTTGCTTTCTACAGTTTCTAGACTTTGCTAATTTGTATGTTGTGTACGTCTCTTCTGAAATAAGTGTGGAAACTTTATGAGTTTATGGCATGTCTTTTTGTCTCTCCCATAGAGACATAGTATCTATGAATATCTGAAAATGGCTGACAGATAACTTCAATACGAATAGACATGAATTTCTGTTAGTACGTAAACGTGAAAGAAGATTAAAAGCTGGCTATATAGGTAACATAATTCCTAGCAGCTAGGAGAGAGAGTGAGGCACACCTATTCCTGCTTCCTGCTGATAGACTCCAGGGTTCTTTCTCTCATTATGACGCGAACTCCCTTCGTGAATGCCACTATGAAGAGCTAATTGGTTTTCTGGATTCTAGATTTCCTACACAAGATGTCAAATGAGTTTCCACCTCATGCAGACATATCTCACAGCAGGAAAGAGACTATCTTAGAAACTTTACATGTTTCCAGTTTAACACTGTTCTGCCTGGTTTCTTGGTCAATCATTTAAGGAAACCTGAAAAACATGTTTTCTGTTATTGTTGTTTTGTTCCCAGGTCAACATCTCCTGGAGAGTCAGCATGTCTCATTCAAACCCTCCACTTCCTCTCTAATGAAATGATGCTGTTGTCTAAAGTCTTCTATGTTGTTTACCAGCAGCTTTAAATCAATTCATATTACACAATTGTTGAATTTAAAAACAAAATCCACAGGGAAAAGAAATGGTGGTTTGTAGCCAAGAGCATATGTACCTGTTTTTACTATTTCTATTACATTTAATGCAGTTGACATTTGTAAACATACATTCCTCAGGAACCCTCTGACAATGTCAGTTGCCTATTAAACTTAGGTGGGCCTTAAATGCTCTCCATAGTACTTTTTCCCCAGTGTCAAAAATGTATGCAGTAGTTAAAGCATGAACTTTAGAATGAAAAACAGTAGGCTTTCAATACAGCTCCCCTCTTGCAATCTGTGTTACCTTATAGAGTTGTTATAAGGATACAATGAGATAACCATGTAAAAGCTTTCATTAGTACTGTGCTTGGTCCATAATAATTGCTCAAGTACAATTTATAATTACAATAGATCAAAAACGCATATGCAAAAAATCATAAAATCTGCATTTATTAAGTAGCCCCCATAAATCTCAACTGAATGTATCACTTATTGCTCCCCAAATAAACTTGGTTATAGAACCCAAAGCTAATATATTCTGATTTCTTTTTTGTTGAAATACTTGGTGGTACACACAGATATAAAAGCAGAAATATATACTAACAGTGGTCTGGCATGAGATGGGCAGAATGATTTAAAGGAAAGAATGTCAGTGGAAGGATATGCTTACAGCTTAAAATCCAACTGCCAAGGCCCAGAGTGCTTACATCCCAGTCCAGAGGACATTAGTCACAAATATTCAATTAGGAGCTACTAGAACCAGTAGGTGGTATCCGAAAAGTGACTACTCAGAAAAAAAGACCATATTACATAGTTATGAGTTTGTGGCATAATATTTTAAAAATCAGTAGCAGTTTTACACTCCTTGTCCTCCTCCTCCTTTGTTCATGCCATTTATCTATTGCAGAAAATCAGTCATTTGTGCTGTTAAATTAATTACAATATAAAACAGGTTAATTGTATCTCTTTTTAAAATGTCTTTTAACTTGTACTTCTATCCCCTAAATGGGTAGTTAGATCTAGAGGCTTAATTAGAGTCAAGTTATTATTTATTGATTGATTGATATTAACAATCATTCATCGTTGATGCTACACACTTTCTATGGCATCAAATCAAGAGGCACCTAATTTGGATGTCCACATGACACAACTGTTGAATTTGAAAACAAAATCCACAGGGAAAAGTCGTGGTGATTTCTAGCCAAGAGTATATGTACCATGTTTTATTATTTCTATTACCATTGATCCTGTTCAAATTTGTAAATAACCATTCCCTAAGAACCTTCTGACAATGTCAGTTTCCTATTAAAACTAATTGGATCTTAACTTATCAAAGTGGCTGGTACACAGCAGGCCTTCAGTAACTGTAAGCTAACTTCCAAAATTATTTTCCCCCAGGCTTTGTGTTCTATTCTGGGGATACAAAGAATACCAAATGATCCCACACAGAGTATTAAGTACTGTGAGGACACAACAACAAAAAGGAACAACAACTAAAAGGTCTTTATCATTACTATTATACTCACCATTCAGTCAAAGAGTGTGGGGATTGGTAGATGATTTAAAACAAAAACAAATAAACAAACCAAAAAACCTCGACCATAAAAGGTAAAAACAAAAAATAATGGAAAGGATCCAACTACAGCCTTCAATGAACTAACCAGCACTGAACTGATTTTTCTCTGCTGGCATCTTCTAAAGGAAGAATCTAGAAAGCATGATAAATTGAGGATTGTTACCATTTCTTCTTATATCTATCCAGAAGTCGTTGCATGCAAAACAAAACAAAAACAAATGCATTTCTCTCTACAAAGAAAAGTCTGTAGCACAATACACATCTTTGCCTTTGCAGCATCCACCCCTCTTTCTGATAATAGCAGGTTTACTTTCAGAACCCTCCTTTGCCCCACCCTGCCATTGTGTGAGAACACCAGGTCACAGGGCTGTCCAGGGATAGGCAGGGCTCCTATTTCACTGGGTAAAGCTTATGCCTGGGATTTGTTTCTGAACCCTGAAGGAGAAGCAACTTCCTATCTCCTGAAATTGCTAAGTTCAGATGCTGCCTGACATCCAGGAGGTGGAGGCTGCCCCAGAATGAGGCCAACAGAAAAAAGAGCAGAGATGGAGAGATACCAAGGCCTGAAGGCACCATTTGAACCCCTGGGTGCAGGTAGGACTATAGCCAATTTACTCAAGACTTTTCAGCTGCAGACGCCAAAAAATCCCTATAGAGCTTTAGCCAGTTCTGCATTGAGTTTCTTTCACTTGTCACTGAAAGAGTCCAAATTAAAACAAGTGGAACCTGAGCAGACACAAAGATGCTGTCAGAAGGAAAGAAACATGGAGAAAATATGTGAGTTTAGTGGGAGGGTGAGTCACACCAAGAGCAGAGAAAAGTTAGGAAGAAGTTACAGATGAAAGAGAAAGAGAAACATGTTAAGTAGCATAACATTAGTCTTGTTGGACACTTCTTGCACAGGGACTCAGGGCCTAGTGAAGACAAAAGGATTCTGAGCTGCTGACAACACTAAAATACAGTGATAGAAAAAGCATGGATAAAATATCAATAACAAAGATGTTCATGGTTTATAGTCAAAAAAGGAAGAAAGTATGATAATGAAATTTAGATTGATTCCCCAACTACTTTGCTGAAACTACCATTATGCATTAAGAGGCATAACTATTTTGATGTTAGAAAAAAACTGGAAAATGTATAATTATATGTCTTCTCATTAATACCTATTCTAATGGGAACTTAAAGCTGAGATGAGTTGTCATGGAGGAAAATGTACCTAAAAATTGTGGGTTGAATGTGACATTTTAATAACAAGTTGTCTACTGGACAACCTGGAGCTAAATGTAGATTTTTTATAAGAGATTTTCAGTGAATGCATTAAAACAAATTTAATAACTTGAGACTGCATTTAACATGAAAATTTTAAACTTGATGATCAAGAAGCTACAATCAAGATATTAGGAATAAAAAAGATATGCAAAAGAAATGAATCTATCTATTGACTTTAAATCATTATGTATTAGTATTACTGAGTACAAAGAAATAAAAACTTAGTGGAAAGTGACAGCCAGCAGTTTTAATCATAGTCTGCACATATAAAGAAGAAAATTGATTAGTGTTCACTATGGGAGATTTTTATTAATAACTCTACCAAATCCAAAGTGATGAAATATTCCATTTTTTAAAACCATACCTTTTGGGATTTTGAAATTAAAGTTCTGAAGTACAATTGATAGCAAATATTTTTTTTTAAATATATATAAATACATTTTTTTTCAAAAAAGATATACTATTCTCTTAAGTCACATATTCTCCACTTTAACACAGAAAGATTATGGCAGACAATTCACAAAAGAAAAAAAATGATATTGGATCAGCACTTAATTTGCTTTGCAAATTAAATCATCCTAAAATGACTAAAAAATAAGAGTTATTTTACCAAATGCAGAATTATGAAAAGATGTAGAGGGAAATATTCTTATCAAAGCTATTTTGATTTGAAGTCGGAACTCCAAATCTAACAAAAATGGTGGGGGATGGGGTAGGGAAACTCCTCCAAGAAAGATCATTACTCTGAAAATTACAGGGTTTCAGGTATGGTTTTAAAGACATTTTCCAACATTTGCAAAATAGAATCACAGCAGTATAATGGATAAGCATTAAACCAGGACTCAATTAAATAGATGCTCACACAGAAGAAGAAATTACAGAATATTTTTAGCATGCTACAGCAAGAGAACACAACAGCCTAAAAATTATGGTACACGATACACTACAAAACACCACACACATAGAATAGTGCTTTATCTGAAATTAAGGGGTTGAGTTCAATTCTAGCCTTTCACAAGCCATTTGGTTTTAACTTTATATATACCACCCAAGCAGCTGCTACCTTCACCAGGCAAGCCTTTCTGTCACAGACAAGTCATAACTGTTCTGCTATAGACAAGAAATTGCTTTTAGAGTTCTTTAGAAGTGACAAAGAAAATCCCAATAGAACAATAATAAAGGAACACTCCTACAGTGGCCAAAGAGGCAAAGTAAAACAAAACAATAGGCAGATGATTTCTAAGCAAGAATCTTTCTGAGGTTCAAGAAAATAAAACTGATCTATGCCAAGAAGCATTCAATCTACTTCTTGCAATGGCATTATACGGAACAGAAGAAAACCCACCTGGAAGGATGCCAGTTAATCAAAGGGCCAAATGGGTTGACGATGTCTCCAGCTTTTGGGAAATTTCTAAGTCTCCGGGATACTGGACTCCAATAAGAATGGATTTCACAGAACTTAGGTGTTATAAAATCATACTCAATTTGAAAGGAATCAAAATCAGCTTTACAGAAAGCTAATCAACATTTTCCCTTTGATCCCTGCAATGATACCTGCAACATGTTTTGTATTCAAAAACAACATTTACAGATGTTAAAAAGGTATTCATATCTCAAGCAAAATCTTGAGTCTACATGTTTCTTATGGCTGGTAACTGACAGAAAAAGGAAGGGAGCCAGCCAAGGCTACACATCAAAGAAAATCTAGATTTTTTTTAATGAAATACAATTTAAACAAGTAAATGTACATGTCACTATGACATCAGAAATCTTTTAGATGCTCAGTTCCCAAGCATATTACCATCAGTACCAAAGAGTCTAACTTACTGAATTTCATATCCATCAACGGGCCCATATTGATGGAGATGACCCCATTCTAATACCAACACCACTGGGGTAAATATCTTAATTGAATTCTCTGAATTAACAGATTTTTTTTATTAATGGCATCAGCTAAAACCATTTACATAAGACAAACCCACAGCTGAGAACAAAACAAGAAACACACTAAACTATCAACTGGATTTCCATGAATGCAACTGCTGTTCAACACAGGAATAGGGAGGCTTCTGGATTCTCTAGTGTAACAAACCTGTAGTTACAGCAAACAAGTGCCACTTCCAGTGATCAACATCTATGTACACGTGACAGAGGAGTCTCCTCCAGATGACAGATTTGGGAGGGGTGTAAACATTATTTTCCAAACTGAATTACATCATTTTACAAAAATAGAGTTTCCAAGCCTGTCATTTAGTTGTTAGTTTCAACAAGTACTGCTTTACAGGGAAAAAGGCAAGAGTATGCTAAAGGCCATTGTTACACTGTGATTCTTGGGAAAATCTCAATAAAAAAGAAGAAGAGAAAAAATATTTCATCCAAAGCTCTCAGTTGTTTCACAATCTAGAAACAATTTAAATTTGTTTCATAGCATGAATCTTAGAATCACAGAAGGGTAGAACAGAAGAGTATTTTAGATAATGTGACTGATCCTTCTTTACAAATAAAGAAATTGAGGCCCAAAGAAGACAAGAGACTCCATCTAGCAGCGGAGTCAGGACTACAACCCAGGTCTTCTAGGATTAATCTTGGATTCCGTCCACTCTAAGCCATTGATGTGATTAGTAGAGTATGTCGTTTTAACCATGCTAGATAACTCTCAAATTGAAGATAGCCCTTGTCAGT